TTGTCTACTTCTATATGCATGCATTTCTCTGTTTGAGATTTGTATTTTTGTCATTTTACCCATGAACCTCTCAAAAAGCTTTCTCTCATTAAGCTTTCAAAAGGTTTAATATAGGAAAAGGTTTACATGTGAAATGAATGTGATCTACATGAAGCCAATAAGTTGGAGTGTCATCAGTGATTTTCTGCCATTTTCTGATTGGTTATAGGCTGGATCTAAAAGATTTCTCAAATCCGAAGAGTGTAAACAAATGTAGCTCTTGCAAAGGGTGATAACATTGAATGTTAGCAAGTTTAACGTCTGTATTAATATGATCATGATTGTACCTGTTGATTCCTCGATTTGAAGCTTGCATTTTATCATCCTCAACCATCTGTTTTAACTTAACAACACTCAGCGAAACACACTGGGAGGATTTCGGCAAAATCATTTTTTCAATAAAGTGTATGTAGTATAAGGAACTAAGAGCTATAGGAACCTGATTTTAAATGATGTATATGTATGCTTGTCATCATCGTGATTTTAAAGTTATTTTGTTAGTCATGTGACCATAGTATTGATTGGAAGGGAGAGCCATTTCGACAAATTAACAGGTTTAGCATTAAAACATCAAATGTATGTTTTAGCTTTCAGCATCTTACTAGGTTTATCAGTGTGAATTATTGTTCAAGATATCAGTACATAACAAACTCCAGTAAAACTTGTATATCTGAACACCTTTCATATTTGAACACCTCTCAATGTTAACACCTTTTCACTATTATTTTTAATCTTCTATAGATTACCATGCTAGATAACCTAGAAATGTGAACACCTGCCAATTTGAGCACTTTTGGCCAGTTCCAGTAGCATTCAGATTAGACAGGTTTTACTGTACATTCAAAAGAAATGTTGAAATTGCCTCTTATAAACCAAATGCTTGTTTATTGGCAATATTGTACGCAAAGACTGAAGACAGTCCTGTATACATAATTTTAAGTAAGACTGAGTTTTCTCAATGAATGAAAAAATACATATATCACATCCGGTAGTAGAGTTCATACCTAGTTTTTTGTCTTGAATAAACTAGTTTTATATATCATTATGATAGTGATAATTATCTCTATAGTTTTACTTAACTGTACTATAAGTACTTCCTTTATATTTGAGTACAGTATGTAGTTAGTAAACTTTTTTCTTGTTTCTGAAGTGTAATCAGAGGATATCCTTTAGGGATTCTACCAGCATAAGCAAGTAGGCGCTTTTCATTCAGAAAACCTATTTGCATCCTTCTGAAAATGGGAAAATCATGAAAAATTGCCCTATTAAACAACTTTGGTAAGAATTATGAATATGAGAATTATGCATGCTCTTAATCATGTTAATGGGAAAATGTTAGGGGAAACACAATTAACATATCTCACTATGTTTAAGATGGATTTATTCAACATATATAACCATTACTATAGGTTAAGTGATCAGACCTTTTATCCTTTAATGACTAATTCAAGGATCAATATTACCCACAAAATATCTATAAAGAAGTTCAATTATAAGTTAAAAACCTCATCAATCTATCAGTAAAGAAAGTCACTAAAAGTTCCCACACTTTTCTTTTTGTGAAGTTATTAAACTTTTGTTGCAAGACAAGTGCTAAGTGTAAATATTTGCTTTAACCTATAAGTATGGTAATAAGTTTATTACACTTCACAATTAAGTAGTTATCTTGATTCAGGGCAAGCATATAGTGTTTTTATTATCAGAAAACTGTATTTAGTTGATTCATTTCTCTTAAACTGTTTATTATTTCTTCCTTATTTCAATATAGGTTTTTCTATCTCAAAACTAGGTTCCAAAAAACTAATGGTTACCCTAAGCTCACCAACTAGTGTGCTACTCTCTGAGTAACATAGATCATTTAACACTTTGGCATTAACTTGAGCTCCTCAAAGCCACTCTAAAATCTTAACTTATTCACATATATTTGGTGTCCCAAAAAAATGAACTGTGGTGAACCTAGATGAATTATCATTAACTAAAGAGTGAAAAGTCAGACTTGAAAAGGGTAATTAATGTATGTCCCCTTTGGTAAAGGAGGAAATGTAAAATAAAACTTAACTTGTCAGTCGTGACATGAAGTTGTCATAAACTACCAGTTTATGTGGTACATGTATGAATATGTCACGTAATAGTCATAATATGTATGAACTGTGAATTAAATGTCTCTTTCATGATTAAATATTGGCTCCCTATCCTTTCAGTTTAATTATAATCATGCTGATTTTTGATCTGCTCATTTGTGATTGATATTTTATTGCATATATATATTTGCATGAATCAGAATTCATGACATGTCAAATCAAAAATCACCACCTACATATAAACTATATCAGTCCCATGGTTCATTGATGTTAGTTATATACATGTATTCTTAATCAATATACCTGATTGGTCAAGCCTGTTCACATGTTATAATCAAAACAACTCATGTTTACCTCCTTTGTAAAGAAAAGTGATACTGTACTTATATGTGAGGATGTTATACAACCTTGGCAAACTAAAAAATAATCCAGATTTAGATTCATATTTTTGGTCATAATATATATACATGTCATGTATTTTACGCCTTCTTATAATGTTTTGGGATTTTATATGAATATCATGAATGAATATACTGGTCTATGAAAGTCCTCCTCCCTTTTTGAACATTTTCTGTCTATCTCTCATTTTCAAGTTTTAAAGCAAATTCATTTGGACTTTATAAAAGGAAATTCCAGGTATTTACACATCTATTTTAAGTCCTGGAGTCCCAGAGAGATAAAATATAGAGGCACATAGTGACACATATAAATTTCTTGAGACACATAGAATATTGGAGACACAAAGAATCTCAAATACTCATCTCAATTTAGTGTTCTCATTGACTCATATATAGTCCCAGAAAAGAGAAAAAAACAATTTTCGCAAGAGTTCAAAAGACGACAAAATGTGGTTGATAATCCATATTTTTCTCATTATCCACACAATTGCTTTTTCAAATGATTACATCTTTTGACAGGTGTTAAATGAGCTTTTTCAGGAACTCCATGGAATAGAATTCATTAAGGTAAAATGTGATAAAGGGAGTCATTAATTTGTAACTGAAGAAGAGTAACAGGAAGTGATAAAAACAACCATTGCAAACATGTAATGCTCGTCTTTTGAAATTAAAAAAAGTATTGAAAAGAGAAGCAGCACGGAAGGTAAAAAGGCATGGTATAGCAAGTCATCGACTTAAATAGTACAGATATCTAGAAAATGGACAGTTTATCAGTTTTATAGACAAAATGAATAGACCTGATATAAGAGATTCAGGCACAGGGGTTATTATAAATAATTAAACGTGCTGCTTCCGTATCTCATTCAAAAATATGTCATCCTCACTTCCTTTATGTCATATATCTCGTAGGAATTAGACCATTGGGTCATGAAAACATGAAAGGTTGGATTTATGAACAACTTTCTTTTGATTTATTTTCAAAATAAAATAATTTAAGATTGAATATGAAATAACATAAAAGAAGTTGATGTAGAATTTTTTCGATGGGTGGATTATAGAACAAAAACACTATTTAAAACAACAACTCTCAAGAGACCCCATTAGCAGATTACTTCAATATAAATTCTCATAAAAAAGTTTGTCTGTCATTTATTGTTAACATTTAATCTATTCTAATCTGAAATGTAGAATCAAAAAATCATGATGTAACTTTCAGAACCTAAAATTCATCTCTTATTTCAATCCATATGAAAGGTTATATAATTTACAATTGAGATTATTAAGATGTTTTTAGGATGAAACAGAAAATTATTTGCCAGTGTCAGCTGATATTGTTCGTAGCTAATGGGATTATAGGTGCAAGTATTTGTATGTCGGCTGCAATAAGCTATGAAGATTCAGACTTCAAATCTTGCATTTTCTTAGTATATAAATATTAAGCATACTTACACTCCCCTCCATAAACTTGGCAACCAGAAGTTTCCATTAGATACCATATTAAAGTCTGACAATGTTTAAATCTTCCATTTTGTTCCTTTATTACAATAGTTCGGAACTGTATGACAAAGATGAATATTTTGTAATCGCTACATAAATTTGATAAATGATCTATAAGGGGACTTCACATTGCCAAACTTATGTAGAGGAGTGTAACCATTAACAAATATGATCTACAGTCCATTTCACTGCTTCATTTCGTCAGTAGAACGGCAAAAATAAGAAATTGGGAGACCATTGTGCAATAATATATGGAAACGTATATTCATAATGTACATGAATAGTGAAATATCAATATATTAAAACCTAAAATGTGAGCTCTTGAAAACAATAAAATATTAAAAGGTATTCATGCTATTGTATTTATTGTGTATGTTCTTTATAAATGCTTGTGATCTCCAAATTTCTATATTTCAACGATCTGTAGCAAAATAAAAAATTTTATGGCCATGTAGTTCAACAAAAGTGGTTTAACCCTTATGAGACATTTGGCTCTATTGACCAGTATATAAACCTAATTGATCAAATGTAACACAAATCAGTTAGACCCAAGCTATAAATATATTAAACTGGTTTGAAAAATATTTTAACCAGAATGATCAAATAAAAACAGAATCATAACCATTTTTTATACTACTTACACCCACTTATGATTGCAATTTCTCTACGAAGTTATTCATAAACATTTGTAGATATTTTTTATAGAATATTGTTATTTATATGTGTCAAAGACACCTTGAATTCCCAAAGTCTGAAGTTTGCATGGTTGAAAATCAAACTTGGATGCAAGTATGCGTTAAAGGAATTTGTGTTTCAAAAAATGTGTTTAAAAATTCTTGTGACCCCCTCCCCCTCCCTCCCCCAGACCTCACCACCTCGGGAATGTGAAGTATATAAGAGACCAGAAACTTGATTATAGGCTAAGACTAGTGCTTGATTATGTAGTCTTCATAATAAAAAGAATTGCAATGTTTATGTGTTTTAGGACCATAGTTCAGTGGAAACTATTCCGCCAGACGTTACATGAGACCCACATAATAAGTTCTCCGCTAGAGGCCATGGCGTTAAAGTCAACCATAGACCTGACGTGCAACGATTATATATCCTGCTTCGAGTTTGATGTCTTTACAAGGTAACCCATTTAAATATTGCTTATAATGTTAATCTAGCTGATAGAGGTCTATTCCAGGCATTTGGACATTCTAAACTTACTCCATACTAATTATCAACATGTGTGTTACTAGAGAAAATAAGTGTTCAAAATGCATAGAAATGCAGATCATAGTAAAAGAAATAATTTTCAATCTCCATACAGAGGTTTACGATATTGACAACATATTAAAAATGAACTTTGAAAAGGTTTAATGAAAATACAAAAAATCACCTCCTTTTCTTGAGGAAATTTGATTACACTCTGAGGCAAATATTATACAAACAACAGTTGCAGTAACATTTGAATAAATCCATAATCGTGTTCTTTTTTATTTTTTTAACTCAGGCATTAGGAAGAATTGATGCTGTAAACAGATATTTGAATATGTCCTCAGGCATATATATTGTTATATATTGGTCTCAGGATAATTTTAATATCCTCGTACCTCGTATAGGATAACCTTTCAGATAATCTCTATATATTTTCCACTCCAACTCCTACTCACAGTCATAATGAAGAATTAATGAAATCGCATTAAGACGCTAAAGAAGCTAGAGAACAAAATAAGAAACAGTTTTCTTCGTCATTGATAATAATATTGAGCATCTTGTTAAAATGTTACAGAACTCTCCGCAAAGTTTATCCCAATTTGTAGTTATTACATTGGACATTCATGTATAATCTTCTCCTACATGAGAATGAGGTGTCAGTTGTACTTCAGTTGATTAAATATCTCATTGAATTTCAAATTACTTTGACCCTGTGTTAAATAATACAAAAGTATTTACAATGTTCTAGTCCATCCAATTTAGTCTTCCTGATATTCTGCGAATTAATTGTCAAGCAATCCTGCTACTTAATCTTCTCTCATGTCATCACTTTTTTTTTTTCTTTCTTTTTTATCTAAAATTTCAGTTGTTTTGTAATCTCTTGATGCAGAAAAACCTGTATATTCAAACATCTCTTGAATCTGACAGAATCTTGGAAAGAACCCTATGTTCATATTTCCTTCATGCGCTAACACATAATATTCTTCACAATATTAAGTTCTTAGCATTTGGGAGGTGCATGTACCTTCATGTATTTTGTTCAACAATTTTAACACAATTGGAAAAATTATTCAAATATCAATTATTTTTTCTTTTATTGTGTTTTTAGATTGTTTCAACCATGGCCCAACCTGTTGCGGAACTGGAATGTATTAGCAGTGACGCACCCTGGCTATGTGGCATTCTTGACTTATGATGAAGTGAAAGCGAGACTCTCAAAATATATAACCAAACCTGGGAGGTAGGTTGCCCAAATACTCAAATCTGATTGCTCAAGTGGAGATGTACAATTTGTATTGTTAGTGTCTCAGTCTGAATACTCTGAATAATTTGATTGGTTAAATAGAGGTTTACAATTTGTATTGTTAGTAATAGTATCTAAGTGTGAATACTCCAATCTTATTGGTCACATATGCATATTGTATATTACTTGCATATCAGAATCGTGTAAAACACCCAGGTGATTAAGATGTTAATATAGACAGTGTTTTCATATTAACTCGGATACTTCAATCTGATTAATCAAATGAAGACTAATTCAATTACAGACTACTATAGCTGGACCCCATTCTGATACTCATCACATCTTTCTGTCTTCAACCAGAAATATGTGTGATAGCGGGATAAATAGTGTAAAGTAATCGCCGTTTGTGGAACAAATCGTGAAACTTTCCTCAAATGATCACTGATTGCTATTCTTTAAATAAAGCAACTGTGCCAAAAAATCGCCCCATAGGAACTACCCTAATTTTTCAATTCTTACCCCCCCCATGGTCACGGAGGGGGGGGGGCTAAAAAAAATTTGACGCAATTTTTTTTACTAAATTATGCTCATACTTCAAATTTAATATTACCTTATCATGTTAAGAAGTTGATGTTGAAGTAAAAATATGAAATACCATTGATTTTCTATTGCTATGTTAAAGGGTGGTGATGGGCGACGCCCACTTTTCTTGTATTGAATATTTTGCACCATATCACAGTAGCAGGAGTAAATCAAATAAGTGATATATGATTTTAAAATTACATCTATATCTAATGCTTCACATGACTATTATTTTTCACCTTTTTCACTGTTAAAGGCTTGTTTTGAGTCACACCCATCTTTTAGATATACAGAAAAAATGGTCGATACGGCTTGACTTGTGGTTTCTTTTGGCTTCTGAGTGCAGTTAGACTCCATATATCAACTATCTATATCTGTTTCACTTTGCACACATTTTTAAATCATAGTTTTATTAATCTTACCAATAGAAGGATTTATACTAGTGTCTATCAGTATCATAGTTACTTTTTGGTATGTTGCAGTGTCCTTATGAAGAACAATTGCCATCACACACACATAATGCTGTACAAACAAGATTTCCTTTCAGGCTCTTGCATCGTGTTGATATGCATTGGTTTTTGCAGCTACACTTTATGAGAGCCTGGCAAGTGTCTGATGCTTGGGGTAAGGTTGTCGACCTTGGTATCCATTTGGTGTCTTCAAATATCCAGCCCCACTCAGCTGGGGAAGGAACTTGAGGATTCACTGTAAGTGGTTGCCCCCAAATATATACAGCTTGGTATATGACTCTCTGCATATGCTGTAAAAGGGCATCTTATGTTGGACGAATGTGTGATATTATTGAAGTCCTCTTTGTGAACATCTCCTTCCTCGCAGCATTGATTGATGTTTCATTGCTTGTTTTAAGTTGGAGACCAGAATAATGAACTGCTCTAAAATAGGCATCAAGCAGGGTATTGGGTCATATTGAGATTTCTGTTAATACTGTAGTCAATTCAGGGTAGGTACTCCGTTGGTTCCAGGCTGATGTCTTAGACTTTCCATTAAAGCCTGATGTGGTGTCACACCCAGTCATAGCATGGAATATTGGGAAACACATGGCTTTCTGAGGAGTCATTTCATGGGCAATTTCGTGGGCTGGAAGGTATCTATAGGACTTTCCCTTGCCAAAGGTGAGCCAGATTTGAATGTTAAGTTGTACTAACTGTCAGAACAACAATGTCTGAATCAACTGTTCTAATCATCATTTTTGTGAAGCCTTTTTTCATTGCATCATATATGTGCAGAAAGATTCGGAATCTGCCTCTTCATGGGATGATGGTGAAATCTCAGAGACATGCTGCTTAGGATATGCCTCTGCAGAATTCCCAATTGTTGTAATCAGGATTTTATTCTCTGGTATTGGAATGGCTGAGACATTTGATGCAAGGAAGGTAAAGAGATCACTTTTCTTGTCATCCGAGCGTAGAAATTCTGGTCAATTTCCTGGCAATTTGTTTTCTGGATAAACTATTTGATGTTTCCAGATCCATGCTTTTTTCTTGTTGAAGATTTGACACTATTTGGTATATATTGATCCCATAAAATATCAAGTCTTTGTACTCTATTAAGTTGATTGGCAGTATACTTATTAAATGCCATTTGAGAATTGTAGGAAGGTTCTTGCTTTTTGAGTTTTCAGCAGGTGGACTATTACGGCACCATGAAGAAACAGGGCTTCAACATCTGGTGTATTGATCTCTCTATTTGGAACAAGGTCTTCTACTGGTTTTAAGATATTTGCTTTGAGTCCAGTCTTGATTGTGCCATCTTGTGAAAGGGATGGAGTTTTTGAACCTTGCATGCTCAATATACATGTGTATGCTTATAAAACTAATTCATTTCTTCTTCAGTCTGTCCAAATATGGCTCAATAGACTCACCCCCGGACCTTACTTCTGATTTGATTTCTCGCTTAAAACGCGAAAGCCATTGGTATAATTGATGGACCTCTGCAGAAGTACCATCCAACACCTAATTATTCATTTTTTCTGTTTGTCTACACCCCTGATGGTCTAGGGATCTCCATAGGCCAACTGTTCTAAATGCCCCAAGTACTATACATGTAATCAAAAGGCTATACTCTATATCAGTAAGCAAGAATAGTGACATTTGCGATAAAAGGCTACTCAAATCGAGATGACATTTTTCTGAAAGGTAGGTGGTGTCCACTCAGTGTTTCCCAAAAAGGAAAGAGCCCTGTTTTTGAACCAGGAGCAAAAATATACTCTGAATGTTAATGACATGAGGTGGTAAAAAAGGACTCCTCAAGAATATAAAAAACATGTGAAAGAAATTTCATTTTCTGATAGAACAGTGTTCCATCACACAGGTCCAATGCTACCCTGGAGTTTTTGGAGATTCGAAATGTCACCATCTCTAGCCCAGAAAAATGGCTCACTGGCAGTCCAGTTGCCAATAATGTTGATTACCATACCTGGGAGCATCTAGAACAGTTGGAATTTAAATATACCCAGCCTATCAGGGATGTAGAGGAACTAAAAGAAAGAATAACTAGTAGTTGAATGGTACTTCCGCATACATCCATCAATTATGCCATCAACAAATGGCTTCCGTGTCTTAAGCAAATAATCCAATCAGAGGATGGGTTCGGGGGGGTCTATTGAGCTATTTTTGGACAGACTGAAGAAGAAATGAATTAGTTTTATGACCATACACATGTATATTGAGCATGCAAGGTTCAAAAACTGAATTAAAACAATATATAATATCCAATTATGAAAGACTCATGACAATGTTGTAATTTACTAAAATTTGGTAGAAATAGGCAATTGTTCGCAAAATCGACGAAAATTGAAAAGGTGTTTTTTGACCCCCATGTCACATAACTGGTCATATTTCTATATGGGGTTGTTGAAAATGGTGCTATCATATATCATTTTGTTGCAAATTAAATTATCTTTAATATGATATATCATTGTTGGTGTGATTGTTAAAAAATAAATATTTATCAGGAATATTGGCTAGGGGGGTGGTTTTTTTTGGCCCACCCTGTATATACTTCACATTAACTTTCCCCCTTTTCTCAATTGTGTTCAATGTGTCAACTGCACTGCTTGACATTACATCTTTAGTATCAAGTGTCCAAAGTTCCTTTGATGTTGCAATAAAGGGGTTTCCTAAATCATTGATAACCTAAGTAAGGGAATTGACATATTTGTTGAAACTGGTTTGATAACTAACACTGTGCTCATTATTCTTCATCTCATCCTCAAACTCAGTTAACATTCTTGCGATCTCTGGACCATCGACCATCCACTTCTGTAATGTGGTTGGATTGTCGAACAACCCCACAGCTCCACCCTCACTTTTGATCACACTATTATTTTGCTCATGGGCTTGGTCTATTGACATGGAGGAGAAGCTTTTTATTGACTTGCTGACAGTGAAATGCCCCTTCATGAAACCATTGTGAACTTCAGGGTGTATTTCTTTGAGCTAAACCATATCACTTACATGGACAGGTACCTAGCAGGCATACTTGGTATGATCCAGGGAGACAAACCATGGCATGATTTCCATGATAGTTTCTTTGTAGAGCTTGAAGTCCCCAAGTCTCACAGCTCTAACATTTGTCAGACCCAGAACTTGTAATTGGAGTACCATATACCAGAATTTGAATATAGGCTACCCTGTTTTTTCACTCTGCTGGGTATCTATCAAAGATTCAAAATCAAGAGGCAAAATTGTATTGATTGGTAATCTACCTGAAATCTACCCAAGTAACAAGACCCCCTCCCAATACACATAAGACTCATTCTTAACAGTCGATTCCTCAGCTAGCGAGAGGAATCCCCATTAAGTCACACAAGCGCCCACAAGTGCCTTGAACCAGGCAGCCAATCAGGTTTATGATGAACAAATTCAATGACCAATCAGATAACAGGACGACTTTCCCGGTATATTCACACTTCAGATTGAATTAATTTCTTCGAAAATAATATTAATCATGTAGGTCAAAATCATACTTACAAAAACTGATCTAGATCCTATCATAAACGTTGATGCTCATTGTCACTCAAGCATGACCTTGTCAAAAACAAGAAGTGATTTTGGTAGTTGTTTAAGAAAGATACACTTTTTTCTAGATTATTCTGTATTTACATTCAAGTCACTCATCAGATGTCACATAGTTTGTCAAACTTTATTTTCAATTAAAATTACGTTGTTTATTATGTTGAAGTACATGCCACGACTATGGAAAAGAGAAAAAAGGAATTAATTAAAGATAAGTAAATATTCATTTTGCTAAAAATTGACTGCAATCTGACCCATTATCATGTGTATCATGGTAAAAGGTCCAAACATTGAAATTATGATACTATTTAATGATAATCCTAAAATGTTATGGATGGTCATTAAGCCTACCTCTATAAATTTTAGGGGTATGGGTAAAAATTGCGAAAAGTAGATAAAAAATGGAGGAAATTTTCGGCACAGTTGCTTTTTACACCCAGGAAGGTTGTCTGGTCATATATGGAAAGTTCCACGATTTGTTCCGTTTTCGGCGCTTTCGCCCTTTTTTATGTCACTATTTATCTCGCTTGGAGCTTTCCTGTATTTATTGATTATGGTGGATTTTGATGAAATTTATTTTAAATAGAAAATAAAAGGGTGTATACTTGCAAGTTTTTGAATAGTAGGTAATTGATGCTTCCTTTTATATTTGTAGCTATGTGTTTCGGTTGAGCTGTACTAGGCTGGGTCAATGGGCTATAGGTTACGTGACCAGTGATGGACAGATCCTACAAACAATACCCCAGAACAAATCACTCTGTCAGGCTCTGTTAGATGGCCACAGGGAGGGATTGTAAGTATTACTATGCTTTACATAGAGGGAAAACATTGTGTAACTATACAGTCATATGACATGTAGAAGCCCATGTTTGTTTGCTATAAAAAGGTTTGCAACATCTTATTGTACATGTACAAGGATTAAGAGTACAGTACTCAGTTTAACATGTTTGAATACTCTTTAAAGATGTTGATTTAAGAGCAAAAAAGGCTCCAAAACTTAATGAAATATGTAGTTTGGATGTTCATTTATGTCTGTGGATTATATTTTATACCACAAACACTTTATAAATACCTGAAATTTGCAATAAAAGTGCCCAAAAATTGTTGTTTCGAAATTCCCCATTTTTCCTGTATCGCGCTAGTCACGTGACCATAACGCGTAGCAGTCAATGTACAGATATTACAGTACATATAATATGTTCAATATGGCAAACATCAGCGATTCTGATTCCCGGGTTCTGGGAAATGACTATATAAATCGGCGAGAGGGTGTAATTTGAATGAAGACAATTTAAGGAGGGGAAATGTGTGCAAGTATGGCAGTAAGAGAGCAGATATGGGGACTTTAAACAAGAACTATGACGGAGAATCAACTTAAAATGTGAGTTCTGGAATGAAGACCCGTTGCCATTGACTGAAGATTCCAGCGATCCTATTATCATACTCAGTTTGAATCTAGACGCGGACTAACAGATTATGAAAACAGGTTTTCTGCAAAGTTATCAAATTTAGAAGATATCGATCTTGTTTTTGAGTGGCTTAACAAGCATTTAGATACCAGACTTGGCGCTATCTCTTGTCAAATACATGCACTGGACTTGCAGTAAATTGGCCATTGCAAATTGCAAAATCAGATCGTCAAATTAATCGCTTCGTTTTTAAACCTACGCTTCACATCTTCTTCCAAAACTTTAGGATTCGATAGAGATAAGTTATAACTTGTACAGGAAAAAATGACAGATCCTACCTTAATTTAGAATCGCTGATTTCTCTGGACAAATTCCGAGAAGAAATTGTTCAACATCGCGATCACCCCAGACAACATGTCGCGTGCGTGTCACTCTGAACTCACGTGATAAAATACGGCATCTTGATTGGTTACTACTCGTGTTGTCATGACGTGAAAAGCAGTAGTAAACACTGAATATGTTAATGAACTGCCATATATGGAACAATTGTCTTTCTGATTGGTTAACTTTACACGCCTCCTAAATGAATATAGTAGTCGTAGTAAATGATTCATTGATAACTCTGAAAGTGGGCGTGACCAGCTTCATTTTGACACCAAATTCAAGATGTTTCAAATCAAAATGGCCTCGCAAGACGAGGTTGAAATATCAGTAATTTGATACTGATATGGTCTACGATAGATCAAAATTGACTGCCCCGCGTCACATGTCACGTGAGCCTATATTTGTTGAAAAATGAAAGAGATAGTGACACTTTTTAATCTTAAGTTTATACCAATATTACAAACACATATCTATTTTTTTCATTATATATTTATTTCTTCATAATACATACATTTGTTTTATACTACATTGATTTATTTTTGCAAAACCTTTGCTATTAGATCTTTAAGTGTCATATGGCATATCACAAACATTACACCTGCTACAATGATGTTTTAACAGAGTGAGGACAGAATTCCAATGAAGCAGAAAGTGTGAATAATAGCCTTTACCTTGGTAATTTATTACTTTCATGCATATTTGATCAGGTTTAGAGTTTCATTTCTTTGCAAAATTGTTTCACAGGATATAACATAATAGGAAGGCCTGATAGAATGCTTATATTATTGGGCTCTCAGGCGGATGCATGATGCATATTCTATACTTGGGTTTGTTTAAATTTCAGCTACATGTATCCAGATGGACGTAGTATAAACCCAGACCTCAACTTCCTTGCAACGGACCTATCAGAGGACCATATACAGGTAAGTTCAGTTAACAATTCCATTGGGATATCTTTCAGATCATCGTAGTTGAACACTCATCAGAATTTTATGTATTTTCATATTTACGCCTGTTAAGTTCTTAACAAATGCATAATGGACCTTTATAAGCATTTCCATAACTTCGAAAAAATTCCTTCCTTGTTTGTGCGGAAAACTAGGTATCTTTCTAATATTTGGTCCTACTTTCCAAAATTTTTGTACATTTTTTTAAAGCTCATTTTTCAAAAAGGCATTCATATACAAGCTCTACTATTTGAAAAAAGGAAGATGATTTGTAAAAATATTTCACCTGGGTTATATTCTTGAACAATACCCCTAGTAATACGAGTAATGTGTGACGTCATAACAGCAGGCCGTAGTAATGGCGGACCATAATGAATATTCTAAACATTTTGGTGAGTTTTCATGTTCGAATCGTAATATAGACCTCAGAGCAGGTGTTATATCAATGAATACAGACCTTAGGGCTAGGCACAAAAGCTTTCAGTGCAGAAAACATTTGTGCCTAGCCCTGCGGTCTGTATTTGTTGATAGAACATCTGCCCTTCGGTCTATATTTCTTTATTAATAATAATTACTAAATGCATTTGAGGGTTTTGATGTTTTTGTTTTATATGGCAAAAACATAATGAGAATGCAGTTGAACTTTTGTTGCAATGTATTTGGTGTTATCTCTGATTCTTGGTTTGTACACTGAAACCTGTAAAGTGGAACACCTAGAAGTGGAACACCACTGTGCAACACTAATCCCAATAGAAACTGACTTAATGTTTAATGAACCCTCCATAAGTGGAATACCACAAGGTGTTCCACTTGGACAGGTTTTACTGTATTATATTTCTTATTGATTGATTATTTCATGATTGTCGCAACACAGATGAGTATTTTGGGATTGTAAAGGGAACATTTTAAAAAAAGTGTTGCGTCTTCTCTGTTAACAAAACATTTATCTACATCTTCCATCGGGCATGAGCTACGGCTGGTTATCGAGAGCACTCAACCTCATTAGGATCCCAGTGTTTATGTGATGTTTGCCATTCTAAAGGCCTTCTTGTAGTCAGTTTTGAATGAATAAATTAAGTTTGCCATTTTCTACTCTTTTACAGGAAGTTCCATGGGGTAGCAACCTTTTAATTACAATATTAGCACATTAGATATAAATATTACTTGTTAATGATTCTAAATGGTTGCATCCTTCTTGTGATGTAATGATGTAAGGCCCTTACATATACCAGTTTAGGGGCCTCAGTCATCCCAATACCTTATCCCTTATAAATTTAATGTAACTTCAGAGATTCGTTGATTGAATTTTTCTGGCTTCTTTATAAGATTTTACCAATTTCTTTTATTTTGACATTTACTTTAGCAATTTAAGAAATAAGAAAAAAGCCTGGTCACTTGGACAATTTGTATATCGGGCCTATAATTTGTATGATAAAGAAGTAGGCCTACTTGAAGGTCACTGTCAGATTCAGATGGCATAAAAATACTAATGATTAAAATGTGAATTGGATCAATACATGTTCGCTCTTTTGAGATTCACATTATTTCAAACCTTAAATCTGTTTGGCGCAAATGCGTGTGTTTATCTTATGGGAATAAAGTTCTGGGTGCATCATTTGTTTACTACAGAAAGGTCTCGTGGACAGTTCTTGTATAAATACTATAATATATAAAGTATCTTTTATATTTATTCTTCAGGTGTCGCAAGAACAGTATGAGTTGTATTGTGAGATGGGCTCCACGTTCCAGTTATGTAAAATATGTGCAGAAAATGATAAAGACATCAGAATAGAGCCATGCAGCCATCTTTTGTGTACCCCTTGTCTCACAGCTTGGCAGGTGAGCTATACCATAATGCATTGCACATAGCAGACGGCTGACAGGTGCATTCTATATACAAGTATGAGGAAACAAGCGCCAAAAATTTAATAAATGAAATTTGAATTTGGGAAAATGTGATTTTTCATGTAATTTTTTCTCAGTGGTATTTTGGATAAAGTTTTGAAAACATTATAAAGTCGGTCATGATACTCACTGAAAAAATTCTTCAAATAGATTACATTTATATGTAGGACTCTGATGGTCAAGGATGTCCCTTCTGTCGGGCAGAAATCAAAGGCACCGAACAAGTTGTCGTTGATCCTTTTGACCCACGAAAAACGTTATCCAAAAAGAATTGCTCAACCACAAAGTCTGGCAGTGCACAAAGTCTCGATATAGATGAAGAAGATGCATTTGAGGTAAGTTAACATCTCCCATAATGCAATATTTTTATCAGACGACAAATATATGTATCCCATAATGCATTGTCAGAAGATAAAATGTTGCAAAATATATGTAGGATATATAGTTCATGCATGATTGTTCTTGTAATTTAACAAATTGTAGTAAAACACACAATTATGTAACAATTAATAGTAAATAGTAGTTATAAAATTTTAGTTTTAAAACTAGTTTAAATGTAGTGGTGGGAGATGATTGAAGCATGTTCCCTATATAGTCTTAAACTCTAGCCAAACACCTTGTTTTTTTCTAATGTCATTTTTATGGTCTCTTCTCGAGGTGTATTCTTCTGTAATATTATTTTATTTTTATTCTTAATTTTATTTAGTATAGAGAAGACCATGTGAATTATAAATAATTTTCTGTAAATCAAAGCTGTGACACACCTCAGTTCCCTATAGAGCGATGGTTATGTTTGTAATACATTCAACCATATCAAAATTTAAAAACCTTTTCAAGAGTTTGATTTCAAAATGCATATTTATATGTTCTATTCTACATTTAATGCTGTCCCCTCAGTATAAGCAGTAAAATTTCCTATGTAAGGCATAATATCTATATATATTTTTTTGAAACTGTTAGGATTAATTCAAGTGATTTTCACTTCCATGTTTTTGTGGTCGGACTTGATAAATGCAGTTTTGTAGTCTTGTAAAACTATAGTTCCATATTATTGCCTTCAAAATACACTCCATTAAAGCATGCCAAAAAATTAATGGTGACCTAGATAAATGAATGGCTGAGAACATGATACTTGAAAGTAAGTGGGAATTTTTGCCTTTTACTTGGTGTATGTGCTGGTATATATAGTTTGTGCTGGCTGGTAGAGTTTAACTGGAGCATAGAAACACATGAAACTGAGGGGACAGTCAGTGGAACACATAATTCAATATTACGATGTGCTAATGAGCTTTTGAGACTCAGGAACTGCTTCTGCAAAATTAGACCAAAATATATGTTCTTCATCTAGACTTGCTCTTCGAAGTAGAGATACTTTATTTATTTTGACAACCATGTTCCCGTTATATATGCTTATTCTTAAAATAACTACATTTATTATGAGAGTATTATAAGAATGTCTGGCACAGTTCCTCGTACCGATAAAGTAAATCAAGTGTAGTATGTGTTGGCCATGTGATTCAAAATCACACATTGATATTTTTGACACACATTTTTGCTTAATTATCTGAATCCACTTGCAATATATCAGGGCCTCACTACTGGCAGATAACATTTCTAACAATGCAAATTATCAATATTGCAGGTATTGAGTATATATATATAAAAGAATGAAAGATTTGAACTTGAGTAAAGTTATGTTTTATGACAAGAGTTCAGTCAATTTTGCTTTGAAAGTAATCGCATTTGGTTAATAAATACTTGCTTAGATGAGTCTGTTATATAATTCCCTGTGACTACTTTATAACCAATGCTCATTTGAGCACGTTTTACTCCATTAGAGATCCCCTCTCCCATTGTTATCTGTATTAAGATTCCCTCCCTGCTGTTGTGTGTAGGGGTGTCCTCATGTCCTAATGTTAGTTCCATTGTATTGATAGGACCCCAGCCAGTGGTTGATGGTGAGCACAAGTAATACAAGTACACTGCAGTCCCTTGCCCTGGCACCTCGGCAGGAACAGGTACAACATACTCAATACTATCCTGACCTTGTTTTGTAGTGTACAGCATACTCAATACTATCCCAAACTCGTTTTTCATAGTGTAGAACTAGCTACGACAGCCACTACAACACTGCTACATACTCAATACTATCCTGACCTTGTTAAGTAGAGTGTACAACATACTCAATACTATCCCAAAAGTGTGTAGAACTCACTTCAACATATTCAATACTATCTGGACCTTGTTTTGTAAAGTGCACAACTTACTAAAGCGTACTCAGTCTACTCCTGACCTGATCCTTAATTGACAAATGTGTACAAAACACTAAATATTATCATGACTGTCTCAAACACCATTTTCTTCACCAGGATTTTTTACTGCGCACAGCACACTTAAAACTATTATAGGTTGTTGTTTTTTTTAAATAGTATAAGAAGATTGCCCACAAATATCCAATTTTCTTAATATTGTCTCTCCATCTCTCAAACACCATTTTTCATGACCATTATCCGTATACTGTGCAACATACTGCATATAGTCTGACTTTATCTTGAATATTGTCTGTGTAACATTCAGATATGGTTTGTAATGAACATATGTTTTATATATACTCTGTATATTTCATAGACCCTTGACTCTTGAAGCAAAATAATACTATGGGCAGTTTCATTGTTCAAATTATGCATGAAACACTATGTGCTAAATCATGCATGTGTATGAATAAAATATTGCTATTTTTCAAGTTGGTCATCCTCCATACGCAGGGCTCCAAATTCCAGAATATCTTCTTTTTAAGAAAAAGGGGGTTCGGATTCTGGACACCTGCTTGGAGGGTGAAAGTTGTTTTAATGGCTTATGTCCAAGGTCTAATCATGGCTTTTCTTTTGTACTTGATGGTTATGCTGTGCTTTCTGCCAAACTGATTTTCACAGAAAGCAAAAATAGGTTAACATAGATCAGCATGCCATTAGGGGGTACTTATACTTGTATAGGGAACACCCTGTAGATATAATAAGCATGCATATAGCAATGAAAAATATGGGAAGCTTCTCCACCTCTAAAACCAAAATAATAGACAGGGAGATACTTGATTTTAAACCTTTCTGTGGCAGTTGATTGAGACCTTATTGCATAATGTCAAACCTGTATACATGTAAATGGCAAGTTAAAGGTTCATTAGCCTGAAACTAGTTCTGCTTGGTAAACCTTAAACATAAGCTTCTTATTTATTTTTTACCTAAATTCACATTATTTTGCATGTATAGTACTTTACCTAACATAGCAATAGAGTGGTAAAATATGCTCTGGGGACTAGTTGTTCCCTTCATAGTACTTACTTGCATGCCTTGGTATAATGCTTCAGTCACATTTGATCTACAGCAACGGTATGTCAGCTGTAACTTCCAAAAATCGAGAAAAATTTGATGCATAAAATATAGGGATAAGCTGTATGATGTGTATTTTCTATATCGATTTTGTGAAGCTACTGCCGCCATAGAGCAAATGTGACTGAGGCTTAAAGGTCTTAAGAAAAACATGTTATTCGGTTTTTAGATAAACCAGTTGAGGGGGGGGGACAGTATTCCCTTGGAGTAGCAATATTACACATTTACATAGATGTATTCTTATTCTTAGCTTTACCTCCTCAATATCGCTATGAGTAGTATTTAATGAGTAGTATATTGATGTAGTCAGATGTAGTCTAGTAAATGAATGATTATGTTTGACTAATTCATGACTAACCCACACCAGCCATTAACATGGGGTTAGTTTAAAATCTGTTTCGAAATAACTGGGATAAAATTGAATAAAGGTTGTATTTTATTTTATTTGGTATAAAACAATTCCAGATACACTTTTCAACTTTGTAGTGATTTTCTTCATTGTAGGTAAAGACTCCATTTGGTTCTCCACAGATGACACGGCGAGATCAGCCGCCCCCTGTGCCTCCAAGACGTCTCAACTCACCTGCACCCTCACCATTGAATTCCCCTACAACCTCGCCACGTCCTCCTCGGTAAGTGTCATTAAATAGCCTCACATCCAAAATGATATCATTAAGACTAAAATAAATATAAACCCAAGGACTGAATCAAGAATGTTCACCTGTAGGAGATTGGAAGTTCTTTAATTTTTATAGGGCTAAAATAATGATTTTTTTCCATGCATGTTCTTGCCCAGTATAAGCGGCAAGACCCAAGGAACTTAATCTCAGTTGCAAAATTGTAACTGAGTATGTGGTATTCATTAGGTCTATTCACAAAGGCAATTTTAATGACAACATATATCAAAATGTAACAAAATGTTAAAATTCAATTTGGCATACATTATCATAATATACAGGGTGTCAAATAAATATGTTCTCCCCCTGTAACTTTAGCATCCCCATAATGTTGCATTACTTTTTTGTGTGCCAGATATCTGGATTGTTCTTTTGCACATTAGTTCTAGGCTTCATTAAGCAACTCCACAAGAGGTTTCAGATGACTAGCTCAACTAGGTGCACTTTTATGCAAAAAAGTTCATACTCTTGATATTAAGAGGGAGAACATATTTATTTGACACCCTGTAATGTATATGGTATAGAAGGAACCTTTATAATTGGACAGACTGTAGCGAACATCTAGACAAAAAAGTGTTCAAATTTACAACAGTCGGTATTATTTAGTAGACTAAATCACATGAGTAACATCAATGTTGCAAAGACACTCCATTAAATAACACAGCATGTTTCAAAGAAATCATGAAAATATTTGCTTTTAGTCGACAACTGCCCCCACCCCCCTCCAATGATGAAGAACCACCCCCAGATTACAATGCACCAGGGGTTCCTAACAGGCTAAATGGGGCCACTGTAGGAGGTAAGTTAAACACATGCATACTTAAGTTAGGTTCTAAAAATCCAAATAAATACCAGAAAATGGGAAAAGTGTGTATTGTCAGAATTGGAAAATTGTGCAATTTTTATTTTGAATTATTATAGTCTGCCACAAAACGTAGTATGGGTCATATTGTCAACCGAGGCACATCTGTCTGTTTGTCTGTCTATCTGTTTGTAAATTGGACAGTTTTCATATGAATGTTTTATATGCAGAGGTGTATGATGTTCTACCAGGACGCAACAATGTAGCAGCGAGGGGCTCCCCTGGTGCCTCTCCCACAGAAAGCTCACCCACAAGGGCCTCACCTTTGGGAGCCTCACCTGAAGGAAGACCAAGAGAAGATGGACCAACCTACCACAACACAAACCTTCAATCTTCATTACCAACTGGTAAACATACTTCATAGTAGTACTATATACAATTGTCAACCTATTCAGAGGTCGACTGGTAAAATTATATACTGGGTAAATAACTGGGGTGCTAAGTAATGACATAAAGGGTAAATAAAGTTTATTTTGATGTATAACCAAACTAGCAACTCTTTATGTGCTGTACTATGTTTCACAAAAATGATCGACTTTTTCGTATGATAGATGGGATGAATGCGTCTGTCCCTGGCCGTTGAAATGGTCTTATTCGCTGACATTATTACTGTTTTTCATGTGAGTGAATACTAAATAAGGGCCAGTGTAGGCTATAAAGAATGTAGACAATAATTCTGGAGGATCACTGTTTTTGTTACCCTGTCCCCTTTATGAGATAAACATATGGAATAACTTGCTTATTCACTCCAGGGGATTCTAGTGAACTACATCGGACCCCTAGTGAGTATGACTTGCCTCCGCCTGTACCAGAAGAGAGACCACCCCATACTCTTAAGCATAGGTGAGCCTTATTCTTACTAATTGTACAATGACATCACTTCCTGTTAGACATCTTGAAAGGTGGGCGTGGCGAATCACAAGAAATGAACATTTTTTATAAATGAAACCAAAATATTTTTATTTATGTTTTAAATAATATATGTGTGATTCTCCATCAGCTAATGGTGAAATGCCAGGAATGGGGATAATTCGGCACATTTTTTGGGCAAAATATTGAAGTAGCCTACACATATGCCATTCATTTAACTGATAAACATTTGATATTTCAGTAAAACCAGCATAGAAAGTTCTCCAGATAGCACTCTGACATCACGCAATAGACTAAAGGAGAGCTCTTCAAATAAGGAAAATAAAAATCAATCAGACTGTGTCATTAATGAACACTTTCTCGAAGAGCTAGTTAGCGAGGGATTTGAGAAATGTAAGGCAGAACAGGCCCTTGGAATCACATTAAATAACTTACATATGGCTAGGGAGATACTACGAACATTCGTTCAGAGATCATGATGCGTGAAATATTCACTTTTCATGAACACAGTTAAAGGATATTAAAGCTGACCAGAGAATTATCTTCCAACAGATACAAATCATTTATGCCACCAGTTGGAGATGACATGATTCTTATTCATTAGGCTATTATTTAGCCCTTTTTACAGGATTAACTCATTTGGTGACTAACAAAATGCAGTGGTGCATTCAACATTGAGACTATAGGATTTGGCATATAAGGATTGTATACCTACTGGCAAAAACTGATGACATCTCCATCCATATAAAATCAGTTGCTATAGTTCAAAATTAACTAGCTCTGGGCTGTTATTTATGTTGCACCCGTAAGTATCATTGTTTGAGTCTTTCAATCACCTGATTTAAAACGAAAATATTTGAAGAAATCTCCTCAAAGGAGAATGGCTTCAAATATTTAGAAAAGTGTTAAATAATAATCAAAGCAAAGGGAGACCTGGTCAGTGGTCAGGTTAAAAGCTGTATATAGTGTATATATAACAAAAGCATGTAGGAGTATGTCCTCATTACATATATATATATAATTATCTACCTTTCCTGTATGTAACATAATGTGGTTCTCAGAACTATGTACAAGAAACGTGCAGTAAATTAACATGGTGCCGAATATCGGAAAATAGAACTGCCTCGATCTGACGTTAATTTAATTTTGAGTCAATTTAAGAATTAGTTTAAATTAATTTCAGAATTAAATGAACATTTAATGATATCAAAATGATAAGGACTCTGACCCCCCCCCTGTTTGAAGATTCCTCAACTCTATTCAATTTTTCCAATTACAATACCTTGCTTTTCAATAATTCATCAAACATAATTACAGTATTCTCTCTAATGAGCGCACAGGTCCATTGAGCCTACATCCGGCTTTTATGTTAAATATTGTCTCAAGAAAACACAAAGTTTAACACATTCGCTAGTTTCAATTATTTATACAACATAATATAATTGATGATTAGTGCAAAGAAAGAAATACAGGACTTTAGAGTATGTATACCTTATTAGAGATAACAACTAAAACGATTATAGGCAATATTTCTTTCTAATCTTTTTGTATGTGCACATATTGGAATCTCTCAATATCTTTTAATTTCAATTTGGAAATCGCATTGTGCGCTCATTAGAGAGAATATGGTAGCTTTATGAAAAAATGATACATTGATATATGTATGGGGAAGCTTTTTCCATGTGGACATGTTTGAGACCAGAACCAGATCAGAAGGTTCATATTACATTTAATTCTGTTCATTTCCTGATGATGTTTTAACATGGGAGTAAATCGGGGAAGAATCATGTCTTTTAAAAGTATTCATATTTGAGGCGTTCACATAGACTGGTTTTACTGTACATATTAATCATCCTTTCTTTGTTGTTGGTTACATGGCAATCATTTTCAACTTCACTTTACAAATTCAAGGAAAACAAAGTATACAGAGTACACAATCAAATGTAAAAAATTAAAGAAAATGTTACCTAAATTAGCCTAGCGGTTATGATTTTCAGTGTTGCAATAAAAAATGAGTTTATATGGGAATGTAAAGATGTGCAAGGTGCGAATTAAATTGTATCAACTAATTAAAACCCTCTAAGTGACTAACTGGCATCATTACCACAAGTTGTACGATAATTTTCTGGAATAGTTTGCTGAATATGGATAACAAACATGGATATCAAAAATTTGAAAGCTCCAAAGGTGATTTATGCACCAGTTATTGATTTATGCACCAGTTAATTGATTTATGCACCAGTTAATTGATTTATGAACCAGTTAATTGATTTATAGACCAGTTGTGTTATTTCACTGTACAATCTGATTCTGAAACCATCAGCTGGTTTACTGTTCAGTTTACTAACAATTTTCAATTGTCTAGCCTAGAACCCCATGTTGCAAATTCACCAAAGTAATTTCTGATATAAATAATCATCCCGTGTTTTAATTCCATATTGTCTATTAATATATTTTTCTACTGACCTAAAAACAGTCATTTCTTTATGTAATGTATTTCTGTGTTCTGAACATTTTCATGTATAAATTGAACATTTTTCAACTCATGTAATGCGTTTCTATTATACCCCTTGTAAAGTTCAGTGTTCTGATTGAACTATATTTACTCAAAAGAAAATAGTATTTTTATTTGAATTCCTCATTTCTTAAGCTATATGTTCAATATGTTATACCAAATAAGTGATATGTTTTAAATGCGTTTACTTGCTATGTCATTTATCAGATTTTTACTGTTTTTGCATCTACGCCTGCCTTCTATCATTAAGGCGGGACAAGTGGAATGCCTTTTGGAATTAAGGTGGGACAAATGTGCTAGCTTTTGGCTTTCTCATGTAATAGTCCAAATTGATATTCCAAAAGGTTCATTCTACCTGGCCAATGTCATCTGAGTTAATTGAAATAATCATCACTGATTTGATGAATTTTGATAAATGTTTAAATGTTATAGAATACACTAGATGCGAGTAGAAATAATCTTGATTTACGTCATTAAATATTCAAAATTCAGTCAAAGTGATGTCATATTTGAAATCTGCATGTAAAAGTAGATCTAAAAATAAGGTTTTGAAAATTGTCTATCAACTTTGAAAATTAAATGTTTTTTGAAAATGTGACTTCTTGTTCGGGTTGATTCCACATAGACCCCATGTTACAAAATCTCAAAAAGTGAATTATCTTATCTTGTATTGGACAGATAACATTTTCTTTTACTGGACATATTTTCATTTGCATAACTATTAGATACATAAGGGTCATATGAAAATTGAACCACGCAAATATATGTAATTTAAGGTAAAGGGAACTTTCTACTATACCCGCCATGCTATCTGTCCCGAACGAGCCACCTGGTGGTGAATCTGGTAATTACCTACTCGCATCTGCGTTATTGATTATTTCTGCATTTATTGTAATTAATGCATTTACTTGTAGATGATTTTGCTGCCCACATTCCTTGAAATACAGTAAATGTCATTGTTAGTTTTTCTGCCACAATAATGGACAACTATTTTTAAGGAGTATTTAAGGCGATACCCAATTTTGATTTAACATTAGGCACATTTTATAATGAATACTGATTAAAAAAAAGATGTATAGCCAAAGGAGGCCATAGAGCCATAAATAATTTTTAAAAGCAAATGGCTTATTTGATTAATGCTAAGTTAGAAATATCCACTGAATTCTTTTGTTTTATAGTAATTCCATTTAGACATAAAACAATGATGTCAAGCTTGAATGTGGAACAAGCTTGAATGTGGAACAAGCTTGAATGTGGAACAAGCTTGAATGTGGAACACGCTCGAATGTGGAACACGCTCGATGGAGCATGCTTATATTATGTGTTATATTATATGTGGATGCAAAACATCTTCACATTATTTCTAAAGAAAACTTAATGGTTTTGAGAAAATACATGATTGATAAGTGAAATCCTAACTGAATCAAATAACTCAAATGGAAGATATAAATGTATATAGAAGTGAAGATTTTAAGAAAATAATTCACTTCAGTTGTTTAACAAGAAATAAACATGGAATTTGCATGACATTTAAGGAAGGCACAGTCTGACATTGGGGCAAGTTACATTTACTTACTGTAGATTGGGTTAATTTGGCGCTACTTAATTTGGCGATTTTGCCATTTTTGGCATATTGGCGGCTATTTAATTTGGCGGATATGCAAAAAAAAAATTCAAACTTACGCGCTGTTTGCTAATTACCACGTAAATGGGCATCTTTGGCTATGTTCATTTTTTCTTATAAGGACCATTGGCGATATTCATCACGTTTGTACATTTTTGTGAGATCATCCTTTACATTTTGCACCTCGATCGATGCTGCTTCTATACCACGCTTTTCCTTTACTAGTTTTTCCCTGAGTATTAATGAGTGACTGACCAGTTCTGAGCCAATTTATGAGAGACATTTTTTCATATTTTTGGAAAAAAACTAAACCGGAAGTGACCTAAATATACTGGACGAAATGCCCTAGACAATTCCCGGGGATTCATTCTAAATTTTGGCGAAGATTTATATTGGCGAATTTTTCAATTTCGCCAAATTCGCCAAATTAAAGCGGGCGCCAAATTAACCCAATCTACAGTATGTAGATACAGTATTCAAGGTTTTTTGTGAATAATCCAGTTTAATTGGCAGGATTACTCTTTCTACTATGCCTACCTGAAAAGTTAAAAAGAGTTTTGTATATGTGCAATCATGGTTTTAAGATATGTAAGTTTTATGTTAATACAGATAAGACTTCAGTCCTTGGATTTAAAAATACAACTAAAATATTCTCCGGAAAATCTCCATTCAATTCTATATCCAACATAATTGTTATTTGAATTATCTCAAATGCTATATGGTTGCAAAATGAAAGCACTTGTGAAATCTAATTTTTAAGTACATTGTTTAAAAACTGAGGGTCTTCTTATTTTGTTATTATGTAAATTTTATATTCCTTATTTTACTGTTTTCGGCCTGAATTTTTCTCCGCCAAAACCATATTTTTAAGCAGTAATACTTATGTTGGTTATAAAATTAAAGAATCTTGAAGTTAAGCATTGTACTTTAAGAGAACCAATCAGAATTACAGATATCCAAAAACTGCCTTTATTAAAGGTTCATCTTGTATCAACTGTTTAACATTGTAAAATGCAAAACGCGAGGGGAGATTATAATGTGGAGATGAATGTAAAAATGAAGCCTGTAAAACTGTATGGAAGTTCTGATATTTCAATGTCAGCCAAATTTTATGTCACCACCACAAGTGGTGATATAGGCTATTGTTATTCTCCATCTTTTTTAAGATGGCTGTTGGTATTCAGTGTTCGGAGGTCCGCATCTGTAACAAATGACATGGTGTCTGTAACAAATGGACGGCAGTGACATTATGCATGTTAATACCTTGTTAAAGTTGTAACAAATTGATAGCGTTGACATAATGCATGCTAATGCCTTGTTTAAGTTGTAACAAATGGATAGTGGTGACATTATGCATGTTAATGCCTTGTTTAAGTTGTAACAAATGGATAGTGGTGACATTATGCATGTTTATGCCTTGTTTAAGTTGTAACAAATGGATAGCAGTGACATTATGCATGTTTATGCCTTGTTTAAGTTGTAACAAATGGATAGCAGTGACATTATGCATGTTAATGCCTTGTTTAAGTTGTAACAAATGGATAGTGGTGACATTATGCATGTTAATGCCTTGTTTAAGTTGTAACAAATGGATAGCAGTGACATTATGCATGTTAATGCCTTGTTTAAGTTGTAACAAATGGATAGTGGTGACATTATGCATGTTTATGCCTTGTTTAAGTTGTGTCCCCAGTTTGAAGATGTAAACCTATGCATGTGAATTGTACATTGTAAATATCAGGATTTTAATTTTTTATTAAACATAAGTACTAAACATGTACATTTGTAATTGTATCCCTACATCTTTAGATTGGACCTTTTTATGTCACCACCCAAATATTGTCTCAAACCTTTTTGGGGACAGGGTTTGGCATTCGGCAGTCAGTGTTCAGAGTTCGATGTCTGTAACAAATGGCAGGTGGTGAAATTTTGCATGTTAAAGCCTTGTTTAACATGGCAGTGTTCCCCTACAGTTTCACAGGGCTTTATAGAGTAAAGGCAGGTCAGCTGTACATATTAGTAACATTATACTAATGGCATCGCCAATCTTTGCCAAATAATATGAAAACTAAAATAAA